CCTCCAGGCCCCTCCCCCTCCTCTGTTGGTTTGATGGATGACGTTGTCTCCATCTTTTCCTCCCTGATCAGTATTCTTCATCTCTCCTCCCTCTCTGTATTCCAGCTGCGTCTCATCACTTCCATCCCTCCTCCTCCTCTACCTCCTCCTCCTCCTCCTCTTCCTCCCCCAGCACYTCCTCCTCCTCTGACTTGAATATTCCAGAAGATATCCTGACCTCCTCGTTTTGTTTCTGGTTTACTTCATGGTGTATTTCTCCTCCTACCAGTAATTCCTCCTGCCCCTCCTCACGTTGAAGACATTTAGTTTAACAGGTTTTATCTGTTTGACTTTAGAAGCGACTTCAGGTTTTCTTGCAGTGAAGAAAGAGAGGATCAGCTGTGAGATCAGAGGATCAGTTTTTAATTGAGCTGCAGATAAAATCAGTGATTTATCGGCTGATTTCCACTGCGGCAGCAGGAAAACACACACAAACACACAGGGTGGGTGAACAGTGGTACTGGTACGCTAGTGGCTTCCCTCCCGTTTTTAGAGTGAATCCTAAAAAAGGCAGTCTTTAATCAGAACCCTTCCTCCTCTTCCTCCTGCTCTTCCTCACTCAGGTCCTTCTGGCCCCAGAGATTTCACCGACAGWGAGACATCAGCAACATAAAAAAGGTGCTTTGTAGCTTTATGGCATGGCACAGAGCCAAACGAGATGACTCCTCAGTGGTCCAACATTTTCACACCAAACAGCTGCTGCTCTGAAGAAAACAGACCAAACAAAGTCAACGTTTCCATCAGAGGACGTTCAAAACCAGCCTGACTGAGCTGAATATTAAACACCACGAGTAAAAACTGTAGCAGCCAATTCAGCAAGAAACACAAAGAAGCTGCTTGTTTTTCTTTGATGAGTCACTAAATCTAAAGAAACAGATTCAGTTTTCATTTGATGCTTTGAAGGTTTGGTCTCCTTTAAGTCAAAGGTTCAAACACCTGAAGGGCTTAATGAGGGAGAACAGAAAGGGACCGAGTACACAGCCCTGAGGGACTCCTGGGACTGGTTGCTGTCTCCACTGTGACCACTAGATGTCAGTAGAGTCACACGTGAATCTGTTTCTGGTTGTTTTTATTAATTAAAACCATCCTGCAGAGCGGGAAGAGTTTTGAGATTGAGGACGGTGTGGAGCACACAACCGTTTGTTGTTTCATCTAAACAAAACTCTGGGAAAAACAAGTCTGGAACAGAAGGAGGACATAGAGTCCAGCAGTTTGGCACGTACGAACACTGGAATGATCTGCGCTGACCACCACTGATCTGATCTCATCTAGACCTGTTCTGAGAACAAAGAGCCARTTAACGGCCTGAACCTGAAGAACTGGACCAGAGGAGGTCTGAGTGGACCCTGCAGCCAGCTGCAGGATGTGAAGATGTTCTACCACAGAACTCAGAGGGTCTGCTCGGGCTGAGGGGAGGAACCGGGTCTAAAGGTTCTCCATGGTTCACACAGGGCAGGCTCAGTTCCTCCACCTGGTCCAAGGCCAGGTGTTCTGGTTCTGCTGCAGAGTTAATGATGAGAGCCCTCATGATGTTCAACGAAATTAAACAAACCCACCACAGTCCTGTTCTGGTTGTAAAAAAGTACCAAAGAGTCCAGTTGGTTCTGCAGAATGTTGGGTCCAGTTGGTTCTGATGTCGTCCTCTGGCTGTCTGATGTTCTTCAGTTTTATACAAGTTTAAAAACCACAAAGTTCTTTTTACACATTTTCAACAATTTCTTCTTTTGATCTTTTTTAAACTTTATCTTCTTTTTTTTCTTTACAGTTTTTATGGCCACGAGTCCAGAGTCCACAGAGTCCAGAGTCCACAGAGTCCAGAGTCCACAGAGTCCTCAGAGTCCAGAGTCCTCAGAGTCTTCAGAGTCCAGAGTCCACAGAGTCCAGAGAGTCCAGAGTCCACAGAGTCCAGAGTCCAGAGTCCACAGAGTCCAGAGTCCACAGAGTCCAGAGTCCACAGAGTCCTCAGAGTCTTCAGAGTCCAGAGTCCACAGAGTCCAGAGT